GTGCTGGACCAGCAGCAGCGGCTGGAACTCATCATATACGCCCGCCGCTGCCGGAGCGCCGCCATCGCCGCCATCCTCCTGGCCTGCCGCTGGTGCTGGAGGTGCTGCTGCTACTGCTGCTACTGCTGCTGCTGCTGCTGCTGCTGCTGGCTTGGTGAGGATGAAGCCCTCTGGCGGCGTGGCGCTGTCCTCGCAAGCATCCAGCCACGCCTCCCACTGCCGCACCCCTCCCAGCAGCGCCGCCGCCTCCAGCGCCGACAGCGGCGCGGCGGCGGGCTGCCGCTGCGGCTCCAGGCCGGCCAGCAGCACGCAGTGTTCGGCTGTGAGGGGCCCGTAGGGCACCAGGTCCGCCAGGCAGCCTGGCAGGGTAGGGTGGGGGGGGTGGAGGAGAGGGAGATGGTGGGGGGAACAAGGCAGGCGGTTGATCCAGGCGGCAGCAGGCGACGACAGGTGCACATCAGACCAGCATGCCAGGCCCACGCATGGCGAGGCAGCGGCATGCCAGGTGTGACACGGGCAGCGGCCTGGCGACGCACCCTTGAGCGTCGCCTCTGGGGCCGCCCCTGCCAGTGCCGCCTCCAGCGCCTCGGCGCTCAGCGGCTGGCGCAGGCGGATGGTTTGGATGGGGTAGGGGTGGCGGGCCATGATGGCCACGCCCTTGGCGTCGTCCCTGCACGGGAGCGGCGGCACGCAAGAGGCAGGTCTGGTGGGTGCGGCTGGTCTGGAAAACCATTCAGCTCCGCAATCAAAGATCGGCAGAAGTAACAACCATCACCGGCGCAGCCACAGCCAGCATCGTCAATGGCAGCGGCGTCACTGCCACAGCCGGCCGCGCGGCGGCGGCCCACCTGTGCGAGCGGAGCAGGGTCAGCACCTCAAACTTGTCGTCAGCCAGGATCACATTGCCCTGCGGCACACCAACAGTACAGCCAGTCGGGCGCGGTGGCGGCGGAACGCCAGCTCTGTGAAAGGAGGACACGGTGGCTGCATGCAGCGCAGCAGCAGAGCAGCATGCCAGGGGCATGTGCTGCACAGCACACGGGTGCATGCATGTGCCGAAACACAACTCCCCCTGCCGCCTGCCGCTTGCCTGCGCATAAAACTCCAGCAGCAGGTGGCAGGAGGCAGGGCCGCTGCCGAAGCTGAGCTGCACGATGCGATCCACGCCCAGCTGCTTCACAGCCTCCAGCCGCCGCGTCCTGGCGGGCACAGGGACCGAGGCGGGCGGGCAGGCGAGTGGGCTCCAGGCAGCCCGCCCCATCCATCCAAACAGGCGCAGGTGGGACAGCATATGGTGCGCATCCGCAAGGCAGGCTACCATGCCAGGCACCCACCGGATGTGCTTGCGCAGCTTCAGGGTGAAGTTGGACGGTGTGTCGGCCTTCTCCGGCATCGCCTGCACAGCAGCCACCCAGACACAAGTGCGTAAGGCCAGTACCAGCAGTCGGTGTTCGGCAGGCTGGGTGCTCGTGCCGAAAACTGGGCCCAAGAGCCACAAGCAGCAGCAAGCGAGCAGCCCTCCCAGCCTGCTGCGTGCCTGCACGGTGTGGAAGCGCACGCCGCTCTCGATAAGCAGCAAAACTTTCTCGCCATCCTCGCCGCTGCGTGCTAGCTTCAACACATACGTCTGCAGTCTTGGTGGGGCAGGGGAAGTGTGAGGTGGCGGGCTGGGGCAGGGGAGGCGCACCGACAGGCAGGCCTGCCTGCCTGCGCTTCTCCCCTCCACCCACCCACCTTGGGGTTTATGTCGTACACATTCGCCACACGCATGCCCAAGCAGCGCTGCAGGCAGGAGACTTCCGCCGCCACATCCGCGGATGAAAAGCGCTGCTTGACCATGCCGCCGCGCTGCTATGCTGGGTGGTGGCGGCGGCGGCGGTGCGGTGCCTGCCGTGAGATCGGCTGCGCCACCTGGGCAAGATATCTGGCTTCAACGTGCGTGTGAGCAGCCCGAGAATGTTGAAGGAAGCACCAGGGAGGCAGTGATGGCCCGCAGGATGTCGCCCTGGCTAGGCGTCTGCAATTGGAGCAGAGCAGGGGCTGCTGGATGTACCAATTGTGTCGCCGGCGCGATCCAAAGGCAGGGAGTCCAGGTGGCGTGGGAGGTACGGTTCTTGTACCTGAAGCGTCACAGGTGCGCTTGCAGCGCCAACCGACTGCCCATGACCGTCTCACCCGTCCTGCAGAGCCGCCTACAGTTTCTGGAGGCATCAGGGGCAGCAAAGGCTACTTAGGGACGACGATCATCGGCACCCTATGAGCCTGGCACTTTGGCTGCTGCTGGCTTGCCTGGCGGCGAGAGCCAATGCAGCCGATGTGATTGCTGTCAGTGGCATGAAGCAGCTGAAGGAGCTGGCGGCCAAGCACCCTTTTCTGGTCGTGGAAGTGAGTTCTGCGCTATGTCAGGGGTTGAACAAGGGATGGCAAGACGGGGGCTGGCCATGGGCAGGGCCAGTCACGTGGGTAGGGGGGCTGGGGGCGAGTGTTGCCGCTGCCGCGCCGCCTGCCAACTGCCTGCTCATCACCTGCCTGCCTGCTCTGTCCGCCCTGCCAACCACCCCCTTGTCCTACCTGCCCCTGCCCCCTCAACCGCAGCTGTACGCGCCGTGGTGCGGGCACTGCAAGAAGCTGGAGCCCGAATATGCCAAGGCGGCGGCGGCCCTGAAGGACCACGACCCACCCATCACCCTTGCCAAGGTGTGTGTGCGGCGCACCTGCGCAGCACCTCCCCAGGACCTGGCCCCACCCAGCCTTGCGGGCCGTCTGGTGCCTTCTCCGTGGTGCACCCACCCACCCGCCTGCCCCCATCATCATGCGTGCATGGCTCGGCCTGTGCTACCTGCCCGCATCATGCGCGCATGGCTTGCCCCCTGCCTGCACCGACAGGTGGATGCCACCGCCAAGGCCAACGAGGATGTCAAGCAGGCGTTCAAGGTCAGCGGCTTCCCCACCCTGAAGATCATCAAGGGCGACGTGGGCAAGGCGCTGCCGTACGACGGCCCCCGCGACGAGGCCGGCATCGTGCGCTACCTCAAGAAGCAGGTGCTGCCCGCCTACAGCCAGCTGACAACCGCAGAGCAGGTGGCCGCCGCCAAGGCAGACGCAGGTGGGTGGGTGGTGGTGGAGGCGGGCCCGCAGGCGTTGGGATGGTGGCATGGGTGATGGGGCGATGTTGCGGGCATGCCCCATGCTGCACGCCGGGTCCTGAGCAGCATCTTGTGCCGGCAGTGTGCACCCACTTGTCGCGCTGCTGCTGCTCGCCGGCGGCTCCCGGCAGAGCACCCCACCCACTCTGCCCCCTTTCCCTGCCCCGCCCCGCCCCGCGCGCAGATGTGCTGCTGCTGGCGTACATCGCCGACGCTGCCAGCGACGACTTCAAGACGTTTGTGGAGGTGTCGGAGGCGCTGCGCAACGACATCGACTTCAGGTTCGTCACAGACCGCTCCCTGGTGGACGGCGCCTGCACCGCCGACTGCGCCAGCCCCTTTGTGGTGATGCACAAGCGGGACGAGGCGGAGGCGCCGCGGTACGAGGGCGACTTCTCCGCCGACCTGCTCAAGACCTGGGCCGCCGCCAAGAGCTTGCCGCTGGTCATCAAGTTTGGGTGAGGCAGGCGGGGGCGGGGGGCGGGCCAGGGTGGCGATCGGCGGCCAGGGCATGGTGGAGGCACCTGGCTGTGCTGCGCTGTGCAGCTCTGCTCCCTGCCCTGCAGCTGGGCGGGCCCTCGCTGCCCCCTGTGTGCCCACCTGCGCGCCCCTGTCGGCCTCCCTCCTGCCGCGCAGCTCTCCCTCGGGCATGAAGCACCTGCAGAAGGCGTTCAGCGGCACGCTGCCGCGTCTGATTGCGGTGGCCAAGGAGGAAAGCGCAGAGCTGATGGAGCAGCTGCAGCAGGCCAGCAAGGCCAACGACGACCTGTCGGTGGTGCTGGCGGTGGAGAAGGACAGCAAGCGCCTGCTCGACTACTGTGAGCGGCGGGCGCAGCGGCACGGCGCTGGCGCCGCAGCTGGCCTGCAGATGTCGGGGCACGAGTGCCGAGGCCGGCTGGGATGCCTGCTGCCTGCTGCCAAACGGGCTGCCGCATGCGCGTATCGCCCCGCCGGCCTGCCTGCAGACGGGCTCAAGGCGGGCGACGGCTTCACGCTGCTTGTGGAGGACCCCAAGGCTGCCGCCAAGTACCTCAAGGAGGGCGCCAAGGCCAGCGACGTGCCCGAGTTCATGCGGGAGTTCCAGGCGCGCGGCGCGGGGGCTGGGTGGGGAGGGCGAGCAGCCGTGGCCCTCCTGCCCCCTGGCTGGCGTTGCGCTGGGCGGCCCGGCTCATGCGTGCTGGGGCTGCCTGCGGCTCCCGACCGCCGCACCATGCGCTCTGCCCTTTGGCTGCTGGCTGCAGGAGGGGGCCCTGGAGAGGTGGCTGAAGAGCGAGGAGCCTCCCGCCGACAACAACGGCCCCGTGCGGGTGCGCGCCTGTCCCACTTGCGCCTGATCGGCCTGTCATCTGCAAGCACGCCTGGGCTCCAGCTGCCTGCTCATGCCCACCGCCACCTGCATCCTCCCCTGCCCCGCGCTGCCCTGCGCTGCCGCAGGTCGTCACTGGCAAGACGTTTGAGGCCGACGTGTTTGGCAGTGGCAAGGATGTGTTCCTGGAGGCCTATGCCCCCTGGTGGTGAGCAGGGCGGCCGGGGGCACAGCTTCTCCTTCCTTTCTTTTTCACCCTGGAGGGTGTTTGTCCCTTGTCTGGGCGAGCCTGGGGTGTTGCACTGTTGCTGGGGTTTGCTGGTGGCGGTTTGATGGCTACCGGTTGAGGACCTTGTGTGGTCCAGCGCTACCCAGGCCCTGGCCTGGGTCCGACGGTGCTCTGCCCCTCGTGCAGTGGCCACTGCAAGAAGCTGGCTCCCATTTGGGAGGAAGTTGGGAAGGAGTTCAAGGTGGGTGGCAGCGCAACGCTACCTGGGCCAGGCTACTGTCGCGCCGAGTAATCGCAATGCACGCAGGCGACTCGCCCTTGCCACCGAATGTGGCCGGTGTGTCCAGCTGTGGCAGAGCCCATGATCCCTCTCGCCTTGTGTGTGCGGCCTGGCACCTCTGCAGGACGATGCCGGCATCATGGTTGCCAAGATCGACGCCACCACCAACGACATCCCCTCCCCCAAGATCAGCGTGCGGGGCTACCCCACCCTGGTGTTTGTCACTGCCAAGGGTGACGGTGAGCTGGGCAGGGGAAGCCGCTGTGGCGCGAGGTAGCAGCTGTGAGCTTGCCCCCATCCGTCCTTTTTCACAACCTGGCCGCTCTCCAGCAATCGCTTGACACCTTCATGCCGTGCTGCGTGTGGCTGCCCGCTCTGGCGCAGTCATCCCCTTCAGCGGCGCCCGCGAGAAGAAGGACCTGATCAAGTTCATCAAGGACAAGCGCACCACCAGCGCAGACGGCGGCGCTGCGGCAGCGGAGGACGATTTGGAGGAGGATGACGAAGAGGCGCCCAAGGATGAGCTTTGAAGGCTGTTTCTACGCCCTTTCTTTTCAACCTGGGCGCAGCTGTTGTTCTGAGCCCCGGTTTTCCACCGCAATTTCCACCAGCTCGTTGCATCGCTGTCAACTGTTGGGCCACCATGCTCCTCCCTTTCTTAATGCTCAGTATTTCCTGCTCTGCTGTAATCAAGAGTGCTGACACCAGGCTGGCAGTGGCGCTAGCGTGCTCGTACATCATGTTTGCAGGCCATGCCCGGTGCCCGGCCGGGTATTCAGATGCCTGCCTGCCTGCTGCACTTTGCCCAGATGCACAGCCTGTTTTTAACCTGCTACATACACACACAAAAAGGCAAGCATTGAGTGAAAATTGTTCAATGAGAAAGAAACAGTAAGCTTGCGATGGAATGATGGAATGAGCACAGCAGTGTTGTTTTGCTATGATGAGATGACATGAGATGAGAAGGGGGTGGAGTACAGGACAAAAATGAAGGAGAACATTTTCGGTTCTGGAAATCAGTCGGCTTCATCGCACAGAACCGACTTGTCCAGGCTGTTGCTGGACGGCTTGCTGCTGGAGGATGCTTCCTCCATTGCAACCCGCTTCAAAACAACGAGCAGCTGCAGTCGGCGCTTGAGCAGGTTGTGCATGTTGAGGCGGTGTTGTGTGGCCTGGATGTTGTGCGCCTCGATCAGGACAATCAGGAAGAAGGACTCCACAATCATCGTGACGCTGTTCACAAACAGCTGCGCCGTCTCGGTCCACAGCATGATGGTGGCGCCAACCAGCATGCCGATGATGAGAGCAAGCGTGGCCAATACTGCCCAGGGAGTGGCGCACACCCAGCTGGTGAACATGCTGACTCGAGTCATCAAGTTGGGCTTCAGGTCACTCATCTGGTTGGTGCACTGTAAGCCCAGCTCCTTGAAGAGGACACTGTCCTGCTCAAAAATGACGTCAAATTCCTTGGACGATTTTTCTGCCTGGTGCTGCAGGCTGTACCGCAGGACAGCTGCGTTGAAGGTGCCGACGACGCCAGTCCACGTCCCAATAATGAGCCACCAATTGTCGCCCCAGCTCAGCAGGTGACCAACAGCCAGCCAAAGAGCAAACAGCAGGGCCCCAAGAGTGGCGCCATAGCCTGAGCCGATGAAAGCGGCATACCTGCAATGAACAGCACACATGGGCAGGCCAGCAATCAAGAAGGGGAAGTCAGATCAAATCAACCAGGGCCCAGGGATCCCCACACAGATTGCAAATAACCAGCCGACCCATCCATGCGGGCAAGTCACCCGCATTGGTCGCTGGTGGCGTGGCCCCCCAAAAGACAAACAATTGACAGCACTCACCAGTCAAGCCATCTCTCGAATCGACCTTCAGGTGACCACTCGATCTCCACAACCTCGTTTGGGGTACTGCAACTAACAAGCGTCCTGGCCCGGTACTCCACCTCGCACTCCTGGCGGAAAATGGCACACATGCACTGCTCAACAAAGTAGGTGCGACGGTTGCGCGCTAGCGTCAGCAGGCTGGTGGACAGAGTTTGCTGAAGGGCTGTGCACGTGTTCAGCCATAGCTGCCAGTTGACTGAAAAATCATACCTGCAAGGTGGGGATGGGGCACAATCTCATAACAGGTCACAGGCATGCTGGTAATCTGTCCAAGCTGTCTGACTGGCTCGGGCCCGCACAGCGAAAGCAACTCGCTGCAAACTCACAGGGGGCCCAAGCCGACCCAGGTCACCATCCCGATGACAAAGGCGATGAGCATCCAAACGCTGCCCATCACATCAGCCATGAACACAATGGCACGATCAATGGAGTCTTGTGGAATCAGGGATATGGCATCGCCCACAGCAATCATCTCCTCTGCAGCCGCCTCCAGGTCATCAACCGCAAATGGTTTCAGCTTTGGAGAATCTGTAAGCTGGGTAGGGCTGAGGGTGCGAGAGCTGAGCAGGGTGTCTGTCTGGCTCAGAGCGTTGTTCAAGCGACCCTGCTCAATGAGGAGGCGGAAGCATTTGGTGATGGTGTAGGAGCGTGAACGAAGGAGGGCGATGATGCGCAGGTGCTCGCGGAAGTCGTTGATCTGCTGGCGCATGAGTATCATGTCTGAGATGTAGCACTGCAGGAGGCAGGGAGGGGGTGCCTCGTCAGGAGACAAGCGTGGGGCAAAGGTTCCACTGCTGGCAGCAGGGGCGGCAGAGGTGCGGCATTGAGGCGGTCCCAAAGCTATGAAGCGAAGGGCAGGGGTTCAAGCCATTGCTCGGCAGCGCAGGGCGACACAGCGTTGGATCCAGGTGCCTACTGATGCAGGTGTAGCCAGCCAGTTGCAATGCCGGACTCGCCGCCGCAGGTGCCCCCGCTCAGAACCCACCCACCCATGACTCATGTCGGACATACACCAACCTGGATTGAGGACACATCTTGAAAGATAATCTGCCAAAGGTCGGGGCCGCCGGTGGCAGCGCCTGCCACGGCCCAGGCGGTGGTGATGGCCACAATGCCGCCGAAGAAGGGTCGGGAACCTGCAACATCCACAATCCTGTCCAGGGCTCGTCCAGCTGCTTCATCCTTCTGCTCCAGGCTGTATGTGGTTCCTACAAGCAGCTTGGACATGGACTCGTCCAGTGATACCAGCTCCGCATCATCCCCGCCCTTCAGGCCGACCCTACTCCACAGGCCTGCACTGCTGCCTACTGCCTGCGATTCTGCAGCCACCTGGACGCCTCCTCGCTGGCCCAGGGAGCAGAAATCAGCCCTGAGTCTTTTGACAACAAAGGCCATGGGGAAGTGCGCGCACTGAAAAGCTGCGTTGTATACGTTATACAATGCTACACGTGCGAATTTCGCTTCGCCTGTTTGCGCTGAGACAAAAGCGCCCCTTGGCGCCGGCATGGCGTGCGCTCGTGCTGCGCATGCTGGGGCACTGTGCTGCCAGCTGGCGCACGGTGGGGTGGTGGGGCGCAGCATCATGTGTGCTGGTACTCTGTTCTCTAATATAGACCACAGCTCTTCTACCCCAGCACTCCTCCCCTCCAGCTGTAACCTGCCCCTGGGCGGTGCCCCTTGGCGTGCTGCTTTGTGTGTGACTCTGTCATAGAGTTTCTTGCACAAAGCGATGGGCCTGCAATCGCTCTGAGGTCGGCAGCTGACCAGCGTTTCCCTGGGCGAGGTGGAGGCGGCGGCGTGACAGGCGGCGGCGTGGATGCCGCTCCCGCAAAAGATGGAGGTCAAGGTTGGCCACGGCGGCAAAGCTCCACCGGCAGTCAGGCGATGAAGGAGGAGGGATCTGAAGCATGTGAGGGCTCAGACGAGGGCTGAGCATGAGCGGCGGGCGGATGCGACGGGGATGCTGTAAGGCACCATACAAAGGTGCGAGGCTCGCTCGTGCCTGTTGTTGAGCCCAGTGGGTGCTGACACATATTGGGGGCAAGGTCAGGGCAGGCGCTCCTGAACTGGACCGTCGGACATTTGGTGGCTGTGGTGCTGTCTGCCCTGTGCGCCAGATAACGCCCCGCCTTGCCCCCTTGGCCTTCTCTGTTTCAAGTTGACTGACCCCATTGATGCAGCTGCATGCGAATACACACTAGCAAAGTGAGTTTGTGTTGGACAGCGGCAAAGGATAGGACCAGACCGGGCCGTGTTTGCACCACATTGCCAGCACCCTGTGGGATGTGATTAAACCGCCCGGACGGCCTGGCCTCTGCTTGCTCCGCCGCAGCGTGCCTGCGTGACGCCACCGTCTGCCTGCTCGCCTGGCCACTCCTTTGCAGGCCCGCTGCGCACCATCCAGAAGCTTTAAGGCTGTACAACCCAGGGACGACAGCCATCCGTGTCGCAGATCGCGAGCTCAGGCGGGCAGTGTGCCGCCAATGGGGGCATGAGTGCAGCTGCAGGTGGTGGGCGCTGGCAACTGGTCCAGAGCCTCCCCCCGGGTGCGGTACAGAGCATTGCCGCTTCCGCAAAAATGCGCTGGTGCTGGCACTCGCTCTGCCGCATGACCATCCACACACACACACACACACACCGCCCGGCATGCCATGCTTTGCACGACAGCGCATGCACATCCCTCAGATCCCGCAGCGCCAGAGCGGCGGCCACCGCCTGCTGCCTGGATCAAGGTGTGCAGCACAATGGATGGCGACTGCCAGCCAGGCGCCGCGCCGCGCAAATGCGCCCAGCCTACCCTGTACACCATCGCCCAGTGAGCCCGCCGTCCCTGCATCCCTGCAGTGCTGCTGCTGTTCCCATCCTCAACAGGCGGCAAGCGTGGCCTGTGACAGGTGCGGTGCTGGGGACCAGCTGCCTGTCCTCCTCCTCTCTCTCTGTTGTGCTGACTGTGCCCAATGCACGCGCCTGCCTGCCCCTCTCCACCGATGTCTTCGCCAACTTGTCGTCCAGGTATGGCGCAGTGCTGAAGCCAGATGGCCCTGGAGCAGGTGCGCGCCTGTCACTGCGGTAGATTTGGGTGAGGAGTGGCCGCTTGGTGGTGCTGCCGATGGCACAAGTCTGCTCAGCCCTTAGAAGGGTCTTGTGTGGTGGCTCCAGTGGAGAGCGCTGTGCTGTTGTGCTGCGGCTGCGGTTGATGAGATGATGAGATGGCATTCCATCGCTCACGGGGCTCGCCCGCCTGCCTGCCTGCCCATGCTTGCAGCGTTCAGCCAAGAGCATCACTCGGGGCGCTGGCGTAAACTGGAGAGTGCGCATGTGCTCGGGCGCTGGCGTAAACTGGAGAGTGCGCATGTGCTCGGGGCGCTGGCGTAAACTGGAGAGTGGCGCATGTGTTAGGGTGCTGATTCCGCCCCGACCAAATGAATGACCGTTCACATGCCTGAACAAGCGGCGGTGCGCCCCTGACAGGGGGTGGGAGGTCACTGCACATTTGCAGGGCGTGTTGCCCCGCTTTCTTCAGAACCAATGAGTGTAAAGCAACGGGGGAATTGAGCGGGAGGCAGGCATGCATGCATGAATGCGCCTTGGTGCATGTACCATGTGCGACACATGGCGCGCCATGGCGGCCAACACCCTGTCACAACTCAGGCCATCAGGTTAAACTTCTTTTATCTATATCAGTCCCTCAAACACCGTGCGGCTTGCAATTCCACAGCTTTGAGCGGGGGTCATGTCGGAAGGGCTTGCGGTGAGCTCACCCTAGCGGTTTCCCCTTTCCGAATCGCAATTCAAGACCCCCTCAACTGTTGCCTTTTGGTGTAGGTGCCTCTAGTGAGCCTGGGCGTGCCAGAGGCGGAGGCAGCGAGGGTTCTGCACCAGGCCTGCGTGGAGCGTGGCTTTTTCTACTGCAAGTAGTGCTGATGCATGGCGTGCGGGCGTGCAAGAATGCAGACACGGGCGCCGACCCGCCAGCCTTGGTACGCCGACACCGCCGACAACGTCTGAGCAGGTTCCCCCACTTTCCTTCATATTTTGCAGTGGCAGACCATGGGGTGCCAGAACAGCTGATCTCCTCGGCCTTTGAGCAGCAGCGCCGCTTCTTTGCGCTGCCGTTGGAGCAGAAGATGCAGATCGCTGCAGACAGCAAGTACCGGTGCGCTGGCGGCGGGGCGACGCTTGTTTTGGGCGTTGGCATGTGCGCAGCGCTGTCTGGCGCCACCTCCAGTGCATCATGCCCGGTTATAGCTTGGCGCTGCAGGGGTTACACGCCGATGGCGGAGGAGACGCTGGACCCCAGCCGGTCCAGGGCTGGAGACAGCCACGAGGGCCTGTACTTTGGCAGGGATATTCCAGCCGACAGCGAGGAGGCCAAGCTGCCCCTGCATGGCCCCAACCAGTGGCCATCCGAGGTGGGTGGGGGTGGTATGACCATGTCCCGCTGGTCGGTGTCAACCGAAACTCACCTGCGAATGCACTCTTGCTCACCGTGCCGTGGCCTCGAGTCATCCTCGCCGCCACCACTGTCCCTCTGCTCAACAGGAGCTGGTGCCCGGCTACCGCGCCGCCACCGAGGCGTACAAGGCGGAGGTGGAGCGGGTCGGCTTCCGCGTGCTGCGCCTGCTGGGACTGGGACTGGGACTGGGACCAGACCACTTCCTGCCCTACTTCTCCCGCCCCATGCTCTTCCTCAGGCCGCTCCACTACTCAGCCCAGCAGTCGGACGAGGCGGCAGGGCTGTATGCGGCGGGAGCGCACAGCGACTACGGTATGCTGACCTTCCTCAAGACCGACGGCGTACCGGGGCTGCAGATCTGCACAGACGGCGCAACCTGGCGCGACGTGCCGCCCATTGAGGGCGCCTTCATCGTGAATTTGGGCGACATGTTGTGCAGGTGGGGAGGAGGTGGAGCAGGAGGTATAAGAGGAGGGAATCATCAGGCAGCAATACAGCCTGCCAATGTCCAGGTGCATGCTGCGCCTGCCCACCCCTCCCGTGCCAAGCCTGGTGTGCGTAGGTGGACCAACGGCGTGTACCGCTCCACGCTGCACCGCGTCATCAACAGCAGCGGGCGGGAGCGCTACTCGATGCCCTTCTTCTTCGAGCCCGACTTTGATGCACGTGTGGATGCCCTTCCGCAGGTGCCAGGCGCCTTCTGCATGGCAACCTGTGTGTTTTGGGGTGCACTTTTGGCGAGCCTGGGTGGGCCAGCAAACCCTTCCACGGACGCACGCGCCTCTTGATCCAGGCACTGCCACCGACTGCTGCAGTTCCTGGAGGGCCGGGAGCCGCGGTTTCCACCAACCACAGCGGGCGGGCACCTTTTGGAGCGCTACCACGCCACGCACGCAGGGTATGGGAAGGCTGCTGGCACCGACGACGACGCGTCGGCGGCCACGGCAGCTGCCTGAGCAGTCTGGCGGTGCGCACGAGCAGTGTACCACTTCCCACTTCTTTCATCAAGCTGTTTCTCTCTTGCAATCATTAGATTCAATCATGATGTGCTCGAGGCGCCTGGCAGTGCTGCAATTGGGCACTCGTGACGGGTGTGATTGCTGGAGAGCAGATGCATGTGTGAGGGCGGATTCCAAAAGTAACAGGTGAATGTGCATGCGGGGGATACGTCAAGAGTATTCATCAGGGCTGGCAGCTAAGGATAGCAAGCGCGTACCAGGCAATGGCAAGATCTTAAGATGTTAGAGGGGTATGTGTGTAGGAGAATCGCATGACTATATCGCATGACTATATCTGCTCGTGATTGAGTTCAGTAGCCGTCAGCTGCCACGGCCGGAGGCGGCGGCGCCGAGGCCCTCGTGGGTGGCGGGATCTTCCGATGATCAAAGAAATGTTCGACCACTTGGCCGGGGAGCTCTGCAAGGAGCTGCGACGCAAGCTCCTCCACCGCATCACGCTGCAGCCGACATGGCAACAGCAGGCGGCGTGTCAGCCTGGAATTCGCAGCGCTGCATCTTTGTGACAGGTTGGTGGTAGTGGGCACAACCCCATGCCCGCCAGCTGGCCAGTGCATGGGCAGGCGCATGGGCACTGCGAGCCCGCACACAGGCACAGGGCTCACCTGGGCGTGCCGCCCGCCCCCGACCTGAACGCCATTGCGGAAGGGCACAAACTGGACGCAGTCGCGGGCTGCCAGGCGGCCGCTGGGGGCGCGGATGCGGTGGTCGTCGCCATCCAGCACCTCCATGGCCGAGAAGTCGTCGTCGCCCACGCCCACAATGAGCAGCGACAGCGGCAGCACAGAGGCGTCCACAATCGCCTGCAGCGTGTTCTGCATGTCCATGATGCACCTGCGCCAGGGGCGGAACTGAAAAAGTAAGACATGAAAATGAGATTGACACTTGAACATGACAAGATGATGATGAGAAAAACACTAAAAACAGTCTGAGCGCCCAGCCGCAGGGCGGCCCACCCACCCGTCGGTGATGATCAGCAGAACGTAGTAGTGCAGGTGGGAGGATGGCTGCGCCGCAATCTGCAAGGCAGGCAGGCAGCGGGCGGTGGGATCGGGGCCACAAGCGGGGGCAGGCTGCACCGTGGCACACATTGGTTGCAGCAGTGGCGGGCGCACCTGCGCTGCCGCAGAGATGACGGGCGCAAACAGGGTGGGGCCGGAGAGGCGCACCGACTTCACGGTCTGCCTGCATGGCATTGGAGGCAGCCACGACGCACCCGGTCAGCATGAGGGAAGTGCTCTCAATGCATAATCTGGTAGGCTAGGCCCTGCCCTGCCGCCTGCACCCCCTGCTTGCCTGTATGCCTCCAGGATGCCCTGTATTCCTTCCACCTCAGGGCTGCTGGGCACGCCGTTGAGCGGGAAGCAGTGGTTGGCGGTGCCAGACGGCGGCAGCGCGGCGCCAAATCCAAAGGCAGGGAACCGCTTTGTCGTGTCGTAGTGCTCAATCACTGAACCGACAGCTGCGATGGCCCTCTCTGCAGGCAGGGGCCAAAAGCATTCCCCAAGTGAGGAACAGGAGTGAACACCATAGCTGGTTGGTGCGATGCTGTGTGCTCCAAAGCTTGTGTGCCGACGCCCATCGACACAGTGGCCGCCGCTCACCATACACGCTCTTGCCGCGGCCCAGAAAGTGCAGCGAGGTGGGGTCGTTGGGGCTGCCGTTGCTGGCGGTGAAGTCGATGGCGCAGAGGAAGTTGAGGGCCATGCCGCCCTTGATGTAGTCCAGGAACGAGGGGCGGGCGGTGATGGTGACCCCCTTGGCCAACAGCGTGCCTGCAGCCAGGCATGCGCCGCGAGGCTGAGGCGCGCCCTACCTCGCCCATGGTGGGCCCAGGCACGCGTGCAGCAGCACGGTGGGCGCTCGAGTGGGCGCGAGGCAGCGCTCACCAGACGACACATATCCCGGCTTGGCCTTCGTGGGGTTGACCAGCGGCAGGCCGCGCCCCTGCTGCGACGCATCCTGCAGGGCCGTCAGCGAGCCCTGCCAAGACCCGATGAACTTGTGGCTGCCGTTTGCCTCGGCGTCAAACACCTGCGCCGGGTGGAAGGGCAGCAGCCAAGTTGCTTGGCACAGGGAGCTGGAGTGGTGGCCAACTGAACAAGACAGTACCATGCCGGGATTGATTCCAAGGGGCGAGCTGTGCAGCCACCTCGAACAGCAGGGGACGGTGAGCATCGCCGTTGCAAAGCTGAGCCATTGACGCCTGGAACGGGCGCCAGACGGGGTTCAGGTTGTTGGGGATGACCTGCAGGGTGAGGAAGGGGGCAGGGGCAGCGCTGTGATGTGCCGCCAGATGCTGCAGCGCGGGCTGTGCAGGCATGCATGCCAGCAGCCAGGGCGGCACTGCAGGCATGCCGGGGCCCCGTTTGGCTTGCCTCTGTCTTGACCACCGGCACCCACTCGCCGCTCTCCCGCATCTTCGAGATGCGCACAAAGGGGTCGCTCTTGCTCCATGTCTCCACGTTGTCCAGGTTGGAGGCAGCCAGGGACAGCGACACCTGCGCCGCGGGGGCCGCGCAGCACGCATGACCCAGCTGCAACACACCCAAGCTTCCGTGGCAGCAACCGCCACATGCAGGGCAGCGTGACAGCCCGGTACAGGGCCAGCTGCTGTCTCACCACCGCATTGGTCATGGGCAGCTCTTCGCCGGACAGCACCGCCACGCAGCGGGGGATGGGCCGGCCCAGCTTGTCCTTCAGCTGGATCGTCAGGGTCTGCCCCTGCGCCGTGAACACGTCGGACAGAAGAAACTCGCCCTCGGCTGCATGTGTAGCAGGCAGGCAGTGCGCAATGTAGGGGGGAGGGTGAGCGGGTACGTGGTACCGGCAACATGCTGTTGCCATTGGTCCTTCCTTTGTTCTGGGTGCATGCGCACCACTGCCTGCTGCTGCTGATGGTGGTTGGCAGGCGGCAGCGGCTGCGGGGCCGCACCCAGGAAGTCTGAATCGGCCAGCTTGACGGCTGCCGGGTCTGTGGTGCCGGCATCCACGTCGTACACCACCAGCTTCATGGGCTGCAGCTTCTCAAAGTTGTAGCTGCACACCAGCGGCTTGGGGAAGTCGGGATTCAGGTTGTTGGCCACCACGTCGCTGCGCTCCACCTCCGCCCACCGGTTGGTGCTGGGGCTGTCGGCCTCCAGCAGCACCGCCATCGGGTCTGACTTGCTGCGGAGGGGGAGGCGGGGAGGGCGCGTGTTCTGTTTCGCCCATCACCGCAGGTGTGCGCTGAGCACAACGCGGCAGGCCTCTGTCGCACCTGAAGGTATCCATGTCTGGCAGCCCGCGGCACTTGATGGAGACCTCCACGCGGACAGATGTGCTGGGCCCGAGCAGCTCAGCAACTGCCGCCGCAGCCTCTGACTCCCAGTGCCCGCTGGTGGCTCCTATACCGTTGACGCCATTCGCTGAGTTCACTGGCAGGGTGCCTATGGCATGCTTGTCTTGAACTGAGTTGACGCAGCCCATTGTTCTGCAGACGCAGGCAAGGCAGCGGGCGCAAGGCAGTGGCGGCGGCAGCGGCGGCGGCATTCAGTCGCAGGGCCAGGTGCCGTGTCGGGCCCACTCCTGCGACTCCCAAGGGTTGTTGTTTCTGTTTGCAGGCGCCCTCCCGGCCCGGGTCCCACACCCCGACACCGCGTTTGCAGGGCTTGCAGCCCAGCGCTGCCTCCATGCAGATGTGCACTCACATGGCCGTGCAATGATCACCGCTTGCCTTGGGAGCCAAGGGAAGCGCGCAGGCGTAAAATCGAAGGTACCTCCAGGGGAAGGCAGGGCAAGAGCAGCAGGGGTCGGGGCACACTAGGCGCTTGAAGTGGCGTTGAGATTACAGGCAAATGTGAATGAATGGTGTCACACAGGCCCTCAGGCTGTGTGGCCCCTTACAGCTTCACCACACCTCCCTCCTTCTTCTCCGCACGCAATTTGCCACATCTTGGTTGAGCCGCAACCAAACCCCAAGAAAACGGCGGATGGTTCCTCTCCAAAGCATCTGCAGCCCCGTGTGACAGGCTGATCAAGCCTGTGATGGCTCAACAGATGATCCAGTTCTCCCTTTCTGCTCCCTTTTCAAGGGCAGGGGCGCCAACGGAAGGGCATGCGCCCATCGACGGCGTTCGGGCAGCAGGGGGACAGGTGCGGCGGTTGCAGACGACTACACCGCTTGGCGCCCTGCCAACACCGTGCGTGACGCGTATGCCTCCACCCCTAATGGGCCGCACTCAAGAGCCTGCACTGCCCTGCTCTGTGCAGATGGATGGCCCTGCGACCTTGGCATGTTTTAGAATTCTATTGATCCACCGCCGACCGACACACAGTCACAACTGCCGTAGTACACTGCCGCAAGCGCAACCATCATCGTCTGTGAGGTGGGGGTGTGCCCGGCGGTTGCAAAGGTTGCTGGATTTCTTCTTCTGGATGCACTGCCCCATGCACTTGCTTCGTTCAGGCTGCTGCTGCAATGCATGTTGCATGCCAATGGAATGGCCAGTGTGGCTGGCTGTGCCGCCCACCCGCCGCCGCCGCGGGTGGGCGGCAACATGCAAGGACGACTGCACTGGGCTTCTCTGCCTCTCTTATTTCGGTTCTCCCTAGCTCCCCCTAGCTCTGCTGGCGATCGATCCAGTGTACACCTCGACTGGTCGAAGTGCCACAGTGTGCCCAGCAGGGGGGGCTCTTACCCCGCTGGCTCTGGCCCAGCAATTCCACATTCAAATAGGGGTATAAAGCCCTGATCGGAGGAAGGAAATGTACTCTTCCACTACTTGAGCCGCGTCAAGTGGCCGCCCCCCTGGCACCATTCACGGCGAGAGCCCCTCTCCTGTCTTTTGTTCGCCCACATCAATGGATCAGTGAAGTGGGTCGCGCGCACAGCATGAAACCGCGGCCCCAGGTCAGGGTTGGGCTCGCGGGGGCGCTGCTGGGCCTCCCCCGCCCAGCCCCACCCGCCCACAAGCCCGGCATGGCACTCAGACTTGTGGCAACGCTGCTGGTGGCCTGCCTGGCGTGCTGCCGGGCACAGCCGACCCAGACGTTCACAGGCATGGGAACGACGTACACATGTAGGTCTGGGCCGCGTGCTGGGGGCTCACAGGGCGGGCCTGCATGCTGGGGGGGCTCGGCAGGCTGCGACGGCCCAGCATGTGCTGGGTCTGGCGACATGCCGCTGCACTGCCGCTTGCGCCCGCCCACCCACTCTCCGCTGTACTGCTAGCCCAACGTCCACGTCCTGGGGGAAGCATGGGTCGCGGCAGCGCCCTGCACCCAGGCTGTTGACAGTGCACACACCGCCTGTGCCGCCCCCCCGCCCGGTGCGCAGGGCCCGGCGAGAAGAACAGCGGGTTTGCGGGCGGCTTCAACGCCTGCCAGTTTGGCCGCCTGTCCCCCTACTTCGAGACCTACTTTGTGGCGGTCAACACCCCCCAGTTCGACATGTCCATCTGCGGGCGCTGCGTGGCGGTGCGCGGCACGGGGGGCCGCGCCACGGGGCGGGTGGTGGTGATGAAGGTGGTGGACGAGTGCGCCACCTGCGACTATGGCGACCTCGACTTCACCACGCTGGTGGGTGGGTGCTCGGGGGTGGGTGCGTGGTGGTGGTGGTGGTGGAGGGGCCGAGGCGTGGGGTACCGCCGCAGGCGGCGGGGCAGACGGCCGCTGGCCTTCCGCACACGCCGCCGGCTCAGCCAGCGTGCTGCTGAGCTTCCGGGGTGCCCCCCCCGTGCTTTGTTGTCGTGCAGGGCGCCAACGACGTCACGGGCTTTGTGTTCGATAGGCAGGGGATCGAGTGGTGGTGGTGAGCCGCCGCCACTGCGCCAGCCTGTCGCTTGGGCACGCCAGACAAGCAGCAGCGGCAGCTTGGGCAGCCAGCCGCAGGCATGGCACCGTGCCCCACCCCCCACCCCCCCCGCCGTGCCCTGCCCCCCGCAGGACGGACTGCGCCAACGCGGTACCGCCCCGCACGCAGTGGCGCGACTATGCCGGGGCGCGTGAGATTGTGGCCAAGGCGCAGGCGGCGGGGTATATGGTGAATGTGCCCCA